ACTCAGTTTAAGCTTTATTTTTTCTTACTGGCTGGGGAAGGAAAAGGCAAGTGAATTTCTTTCTTTTCAAGAGAACTGAGGCCTGGTGAGAAAGTACTCCCACAGTCACAGTGGTCCAAACACTCCATGGACTAAAATGGTCGTCCCTCCCACTAAGGAGCAGAGAGCAGCAGCTCTCAGGGTCTCCTTCCCGCAATATGAGCATCACCTGGACCTTGTTAGAAATGCAAGGTGTCAGGCTGCCCAGAGTTCCTGAAACAAGATCGTGGTGATGGGAGCCAGTGATGCGCTCAGCTCAGGTGACTCTGACGTGTGCTAAAGTGTGAGAACCAGGACAATCAAGGGTCAGTGTAAGGAAAGTTTGGCTCACGGGGAGCTCAGAGCAACTAAGTGAATATGCTTTCTCCCCTGAACACAAGCATGTTTTCCTTTTTTTCTCAAAAGAAAACAAGTGGTTTATGATCTCCAGCTTGCCCCAGCATGAGGACTCTCTTCCACTATTTGAACATGAGTCGTTCTCACCTGTGTTGATTCTCATGCGAGCTGAGAGGGGGCACAGAGAATGAAAATCCTGAAAATCCTGTGTTGTGCAATATAGGAGCCACTGTCCATAAGTAGCTATTTGAATTAGCATTAAAAATAAATAATATATTTCATGTCTCTGGTTAGAAAAATGCCCCCCAAAATTAAAATAATAAATAAATAATATATACATATATACATATTAAATTTTATGTACATAAATATATATATACACATATAAAGCTCTTCAGTCACACCAACCACGTTCCAAGAGCTCACCAACCACAGGTGGTTAGTGACTACCATACCGGACAATGCAGATAAAGAACATTTTCATGATCACAGATGTTCTACTAAACAGCACTGGTACTCCTAGTGAATTAGAACTCCTCCATGCTTTGCCAAGCCACATCCAGGAATAAGGTACCAAGGTGGGCAAAACTGAAAACTAGGCCCTATCAACCTTGGCTGACAGCATCAAAAGAATTTAGACACTAAAAACAGACCATTCCATTATAGTGATAACAGAAATAATAGCTCATATGCTGCAGTAGAGTGCAAACATTGTTTCGAAGTTACAGCTTTAAAAAATGTATCATAAACCTTCTCAGGTTTAGTAGAAAATAAATCTGAAAAACAAAAGATAGAGGTTTTCATGTAGAATGAAATCTAAATGTTGTCTAAATAGTAACAAGAAGAGTCCGTGTATATACCAAACATGTAATGCCAAATATTCCATTTGTCAATAACCACAACCTGCCCTTTCTCTTTCCATGTTATAAGTTGTGCATATTCAGGCTTGAATATTTCTTCTCTCATTGCTAGCTAATCAAATTCCAGAACTCCGGCCTTTAGACTGCATGTCCTGACTCCTGGTAAGGGGGAAAGAAAGCTCAGCGAGACTGAATGAAGTCACTGTTTCTTCTCTAGTATCTGCCAAAAAAACAGCAGCACACTGTATCATAAAACTGTCTTCGAAAATGTTATTCACAACAAAGGAGTCGTGTTAAGACACCCACATTTCAGGGCTTGTTGCCATGTCCTATACAAGTACCCTTCAACTTCCAAATTTTAACTGGCTTAAGTGCTTACTCATATCATTCTCCTGACACCAATCATTAAATCTAAATTTCTGCTTTCTGAAGAGTATCTGTGCACATACATGTTCTGTTAAGACAAAAGGACATATGACACTTCCTTCTCCTCGTATGAGCATAAAAAGCAATAAAAGTATTATTTTACTAAATATCTTATTTACAGAAGAGTTTAATAATGGTTATTTAAATTAACAAAGGCCACACTAAACAAGAAAAGTAAAATAATTCCAAGTTCAGGTAGTCACATTTTTATAAATAACTTATGCCAACCAATTTGATATAGATTGCTTTATAAATATAGTCAAACTAAAATTCAACTGAACTAGTAAATATTTATTGGGCACCTATATGTGTGCAATAGAGAAAAATCATGAGTCAACCATCTAGTACACACATAAACAAATGGCTTCCTGTCATTTCCTGTCAAACAGAACATAATTACAATCATATAAGTTATGTTGACACTGACACATTTATGCCAGTAAGAAACCCACACGGGGATCCCTCTAATATTATCAAACGTTTTGGGCCCTAAGTGCCAAACACGAAGTGCTTTGTGTGCATCATCACTTCTAATTCTCACAACCGACCACGAGAGAAGCATTTCCAACCCCACTGCTCACGGTGGGGGGGGGGGGTCCCAGAAAGGTTTCATGATCTTACAGTCAGAAACTCAGAGAACAGAGGACTAATGCACAATTGGAAAGCAAATTGGAAGAAAAGGAGTCCCCTAAGAATGGAAAGGAAGTGATGCAGTTGCAGCTGCAGAAAGGCACCCTTTCCCAATCCCACCCCCCTAGGGTTCTGTCGCGCCTTTGTCGACACTGGAGGCCACGTCCTAGCTCAGCAGCTCAACTCTACTGTTTGACGTTAAAGGAAAAAACATACCTGAGGTGAGAGAAACTTTTCAATGCGTTTGGCTATAAAGCTTTCTCCAATATGGAGTTGACAGATGGTCTGTCCCTAGGATTTCTTTTAAATAACTGAGAGAGCAAACGGCGGAGATCATAGGAATAATGCAAAGACACCGGTGGAAAACATCCAGATATGATCTTCAGTACCAGGTTTTTCAAACTGCCAGCTTCAAACTAAAATCCAGAAAATATAGATCAACATATGTGAAACATACATAAACTGAAACTGAGAATATCAACAACAGGAAATAGTTATTTTCCTACCAATACAGAATAGAAATATAATCCTTTTCCAAAAATGTAGACTATGTTCCCAACAGCAAAGTTTAGTTACCTATAAACGTATTTCAAGGATAATATCAGCCCTCAAAAACTGAAATGTTATAACTTGCTATGCGTAATTTTTTATTTAAAATACTCAAAGATGGAATATATGTATTAGACAGTTTATAAACAATTACAATAATCAAGATAGTAAAAGATTATGCCTAAGAGGCAGCAAAATTTGAGACAAAGAATGACAAGGGCCAGGGAAATCACCTGGTGGTCTTCACTCAAGATCTGGCTCCCTGTGCCTCCGTTACAATGGCTAGAGTAAGAAGTTAACTACAGAACTAAAAGTATTTCGGGGAAGTATAATAAATAAGACTACTAATTACCTTCCTTTTAGACAAACTTACTACTATTAGTGTGTGTGTGTGTGTGTGTGTGTGTGTGTGTGTGTGTGTGTGTGTGTGTGTGATGCTCCTAAAAGCTATAGAATCAGCATGTGGAAAATATTCCAAGGAGAGTACAAGTTCTAATAGGAATACATATTTTAGGATTAAGTACAATGTAAACTCTAACTGAAGTAAAAACAAAACAGAGGCAGGGCAGTTTAAAATCTAAAGAGGCCAAGCATAGTGGCTCATGCCTGTAATCCCAACACTTTGGGAGGCAGAGGCGAGAGGATTGCCTGAACCCACAGGTTCAAAACCAGCCTGGGCAACATGGCGAGACCTCATCTCTACAATGAATCAAAAAATTAACTAGGAATGGTGGTGCATACTTGTAATTCCAGCTACTTGGAAGGCTGAAGTGGAAGGATTACCTGATCCCAGCAAGTGGAGGCTACAGAGGCCATGAGGGTGCCACTGCACTCCAGCTTGGGTGGTAGAGTGAGATTCCAACTCAAAAAAAAAAACTAAAACTAAAGAGTTCGTTTCAAAAGAAGTTAATATTAAGTTTTTTATATCTCTGCTAAAATAGTATAGAGCAGTTTTACAATGTCAATCTCTTCTTAGTATGCTCATCAAGAAAATAAAATACACTATAAATTACGCACCAGTGATTAAAAGAGTTCTATTAAACATTGAGTTTTCCTAAATGGCATATAACTTCTAAAAACTGAAGCAGATTCAACCTTACAGGAATGTCTGTACACCTAAATAGGAATCCTAAATGCAGAAAAGATAAGGTTCTCTATTCCCTTATTCCAAAGAACTTACATTGATCTCTTAATTGACACATTCTTTATTTTTTTTTAAAAAAAGGTCGGTTTCCTACGTTTTCTTCTACGATTCTTATAGTTTGAGGTTTTACATTTAGGCCTTTCATCCATTTAGAGTTGATTTTTGCGTATGGGAATAGGTAGGGGTCCTGTTTCAGTCTCCTGCATGTGGTTAGGCAGTTTTCACAGCACCATTTACAGAATAGGTTCTCCTCTCCACAATGGTTGTTGGTGGAGGCTTTGTCAAAGATAAGTTGGTTGAGAAATTGAGGTTTTGCTTCCAGAAACTCTATCCTGTTTCATTGGTCTATATGACTGTTCTTGCACCAATACCAGGCTGTTTTGATTATTGTGGCTTTATAGTAGAGTTTGAAGTCTGGAAATGTGATACTTCCCTCTTTGTTTATTTTGCTAAAGATTATTATGGCCATTTGTGGTCTTTTTATGTTTCCACATGAATTTCTGTATTGTTGTTTCCAGGTCTGAGAAAAAAGATTTTGGTAATTTAATGGATATTGTGTTAAATCTGTAGATTGCCTTTGGTAGAATGGACATCTTAACAATGTTAATTCTTCCAATCCATGAGCATGGAATATTTTTCCATTTCTTTGTGTCTTCTTTGGTTTCTTTGAGCAGGGTTTTGTAGTTTTCATTGTAAAGGTAGGAAACACCCTTAGGGAAATTGGAATAAGCAACAAATGCCTGATCAATTCTCCAAAAGTGCATGCCATAAAAGGTTAGATAGACAAATGGGACCTCATCACACTTAAAAGTTTCTGCAAAGCAAAAGAAACCATCAAGAGAGCAGAGAGAAAGCACACAGAATGGAAAAAAATATTTGCCAACTGTAAATCTGACAAAGGCCTAACATCCAGGGTCTAAAAGAACTCAAATGTGTCAAAAGGAAAAAAAATCAAACAAAAATGGGCAAAAGATATGAACAGACACTTCTCAGAAGAAGACATACCAACACCCAACAGATACATAAAAAAATGCTCAACCTCACAAATCATCAAAGAAATGCAAATTAAAACCACACTGGGCCACGCTCAGAGGCTCAGCACTTTGGGAGGCTGAGGCAAGTGGATTGCCTGAGCCTGCGAGTTCACAACCAGCCCAGGCAACTTGGCAAGACCTCGTCTCTATAATAAACAAATGAATAAATAAATAAATTAGCCAGACGTGGTAGCACGGGCTGATAGTTCAGTCAGGATGGCCCTCATCAGTAACTCATGAAACAACAGATGTGGGGAAAAGAGAGCTCTTCTACTCTGTTGGTAGGGGTGTGAACTAATACAACCTCTGTGGAAAACACTGTGGTGATTTCTAAAAGCTCTAAAAATCAACTTTCCAAATGACCCAGCAATCCCCCTTCTGGGAATATACCCGGAGGAACTCAAATCACGCGGTAAAAAAAGATACCTGCACACCCATGTTTATTGCACCATTATTCACAATGGCAAAAACATGGAATCTATTGTGCTGCCTACTGAAAGTGGACTGGATAAAGAAAATGTGGTACATTTACACGATGGAATATTATGCAGCCATAAAAAAATTATAAGCTTCACAGCAACTCGGATGGAATTAGAGACTATAATACTCAGTGATTTATCACAGAAACAAAGATCTGAGTACCACATGTACTCACTCATAAGCGGACCCTGAACATTTGTCATCATACTATAAGCAAGGGATTGGCAGTACTGGGACACTGCCGAGGGGTGGGGGTGGGGGGCACCTTACATCAGTTAGGGTCTGCAAACTTAACCTGTACAATGACCGCCTATGTACCTAACCCTGAACCGTACTCCACATCTTTAAAATAAAAAAAAAAAAACAGGGGGGGAAGGTTGGTAAATTGATTTCACGTGCCTCTAAACAAATGTTATTTAAGAGGAACCAATTCCAATATACAGAAGCAATGATGGCAGACAACGTAGACAAAAAGATTTAAAAAACCAAAACACCGATTTAAACCTAATGTAACTGTGTCACAGAAAACGGCACACTCCTTCAAATACAGATCTGATTACTCCCACTATTCATCACTTTGGCAGCCTGTGCTTCTTCAAAGAAAAGTAAAATCTAAGACAGTACAGCAAAAGAGTATGCAACCATTAAGAATGATGAGGAAACATACTCCCCAGATAACACCAAGCAATAAAAACAGGCTATAAAACTGCTCATACAGTATAATCAATGTGGGGAGGGAAAAAACAAAATTCATTTTACAAACTGGTCTACAATAAATCCTGGGGGAAACAACAAAACAGTACAGGCAGCAATACTGGCTAAAAGAATCACTTGTGATATGTATTTACTTTGTATTTTTATGTATCACCCGAAGATTTGTGTACTGAAAATACATTAGTATTTAATCAGTAGGGGAAGTATGTTAGCCACATTCCACTCCAAAACCCTTCTTTAAGATTAAATCTACTTAGGATGAGACTCTCCCTCTTTGGTGTGTTACATATTATTTCAAAAAAGTCTCAAAAGTAAAAATTTTAAATATTCTGAATTAGTGAATATTTAAATTGATAAAATTCATTAATGAGAATGTTGACCAAAGTTCTTTAAATAACTTCACTTCTACTTGAGAATTTGCTAAAATGAAACTGGTAAAATTTGTTGAGCTAAAACATCAAATTCATAGTAAATTTAACATAAAGAAGAGAGCAAAATTTTTTCCCTATCAGAAACAATTTTCTGGGCCCAGTGTGGTGGCTTACGCCTGTAATCCTAGCACTTTGGGAGACTGAGGCAGGAGGATTGCTTGAGTCCAGGAGTTCGACACCAGCCTGGACAACATGGCAAGGCACCATCTCTACAAAAAGTCCAAAAGTTAGCGAGGCATGGTGGCATGCACCTATAGTCCCAGATACTCAGAAGGCTGATGCAAAAAGATCACCTGAGCCAGGATGTTGAGGCTGTGGTGAAGCGTGATCATGCCACTGCACTCCAGCCTGGGAGACAGAGAGACCTTCATTCAAAAGAAACAATTTTTTTTTTAAAGTATGAAATATATTAGCATATAACAATAGATATATTACATGTGCATGTATGATAATAAAAATAAATGTATACTTCAGAAGAGATGAGAGATTTAAAAACTGACTTACAGAGGAATTTCTGGTATAAGAAAGTTATGAGAAAGATAATTCAATTTTAAAAAATAATGGAAATGTTATAGTCACTTTTGATACAACTTTAAAAACACTTCAGAAACTTCTACTTACTGCATGTTTTAGTGTACACATCTCGTACAGGACACATCTCAGAGCCCAAATGTCACTAGAGAAGGTAAAAATGAGAAAGTTCCTGTATCAGAATGTACCTTAAAATTTTTTTATTTAAGGGAAACAAACAGCATGACAATGTTTTAGAAAACTATGTGCTTCAGGAAACACTGCCTTTAAAACTAAAAATTTCAACCGTTAACCAAATGACAAAATCAGCTGCTCCAGATACGAAAATTAATGGTTGCCCAAGCAACCACTTTAAAGTTTAATTCAAGAAATTTAAAGGCCAGGCGCAGTTGCTCATGCTTGTAATTCCAGCATTTTGGGAGGTGGAGGAGAGAGGATTGCCTGAACCCAGAGGTTCGAGACCAGCCTAGGCAACTTGGTGAGACTTCATTTCTATAACAAATTTGTTTAAAAAAATTAGCCAGATATGGTGGCACATGCCTGTAGTTCCAGCTACTTGGAAGGCTGAAGCGGAAGGATCACCTGAGTTCAGTAGGTAGAGGCTGCAGTGGCCTTGAGTATGCCATTGCACTCCAGCCTGGGTGGCAGACTGAGACTCTAACTCAAACAAAAAAGAAAGAAAGAACTTTAATACTTAAATGAACAATATCAAAAATTTTCATGTACATTTTACTTCATAAAAGTCAAACTGCTTTTTTCAATTATTTGCAAAATATTATGATTTTTTAAAGAATTATAAAAACAAAATGCTATGTTAATGAACATGACAAAAATATCAATTTACTAAAATTAAATCTGAAAGAAACCTGTAACAGCCAACCGATCAATGTTTGTTGGCTGGGAGTTTCCAGTTGGAAAGAGGTAGATTCGTAGGGTGGGTAGATTGAACAGCAGGCCTTTTCCCACCCACGTGAACAGACCGTGAGCCACAGCACTGTCAGTGCTCAGGCGCGTGGGCATGGGGCCACATGCCTGTGCGAATACTGGTTGCACCTCTTACTAGACTGAGGGATTGTTTGGTTTTGGTTTTTTTTTGAGTTGGAGTCTCACTCTGTCACCCAGACTGGAGTGCAGTGGCCGCTACCGGCCACCACAGCCTTGACCTACTGGGCTCTGGCGATCCTCCCGCTTCAGCCTTCCAAGTACCTGAAACTATAGGCGCGCACCACCACGCCCGGCTAATTTTTTTGATTTACTGTAGAGATGAGGTCTCGCCAAGTTGGCCAGGCGGGTCTTGAACCCGCGGGCTCAGGCAATTTACTCACCTCGGCCTCCCAAAGCACGGGGTTACAGGCTGAGCCACCGAGCCCGGTGACTGAGGGATTTCAAAGAAGTTACTGAATCCCTCTGCATTTGCTTTCTTTATAAGAAAAGGAGGAATGGAGTCAGGTGAGGTGGCTCATGCCTTTAATCCCAGCACTTTGGAAGGCTGAAGAGAGAAGACTGCCTGAGCTCAGGGGTTCAAGACCAACCTGAGCAGCACAGCGAGACCTCATCTCTACAATAAATAAAAAAAATTAGCTGGGCATGGTGGCGCACACTTGTGGTTCCAGCTACTTGGAAGGCTGAGGCAGAAGGATCACCTGAGCCCAGCAGGTCGAGGTTGCGGTGGCCATGAGCATGCCACTGCACTCCAGCCTGGGTGAAAGAGTGAGACTCTGACTCAAAAGAAAAGAAAAGGAGGAGTAAGTAATACCTACATCTCCCAAAATTATTATGAAGACTAACAGTTAATACACAGAATTCAAAATATTGCTTGGCATATAGGAAGTGTTCAGTAAATGTTAACATTAATTCAATAGAAAGTGACTATTTCAAAGAGAAAGACCAAAGAAAGCACTCTACTTTCAATTGTAACTTAAATAATAAAGTGATTCTATAGTTCCTTCAGCAAGATAGTCAAATAACCTTTTTATAATTCCTTTCATCATATATTAACAAATTATTTTTATATATACGTATGTTTACATATGTGAACTAATAATGATTTTTAGAATAATATTCTGAAGGTTAATAAACATTACAAAAGGATTCAAATGAAGACATCATAACATACCTTTTATTATTGTACGGTTTGTTTTCGCAGATTTCAGGTGACAAGTAGTATGGGGTCCATATGCAAGTTCGAGCCAGCTCTATAGTACTAGAACAAAAGCAAACAATATTGGAGAACTCAAGCCACAGTCATGGACCACATTAGCATTTTGGCAAACAACTGACCGCATATACGAACAGCAGTGGTCCCACAGATCAAAATGCAGCTGAAAATTTCCTATCGCCTAGCAACATCATGGCCATCATAACACTGTAGAGCAATTACTGTATTTCTCTATAAATCTAGTGGAGCCTAAAGCAAGTGCCCTATACAGGCATACCATTTTTTGCCTCTTGCATTGTGCCTTTTCCAGGTATAGATATGTTTAGATACACAAATACTGCCTACTATGTTACAGTTGTCTACAGCACTCAGTGTAGAACATGCTGTACAGGTTTGGAGCCCAGGATACAGCCTATAGTCTACGTGTGTATTAGGCTATGACATTCAGGTTTGGGTAAGTACACTCTGCGATGTTCACCTAACAATGTATTTCTAAGGATGTATTCCCATCATTAAATGACACACGAATGTTCTTAAGGATACCATAAATTACCACATACACATCAAGGGCAAAAGTTTCACTGAAGACATTATACCAAAGTTTAAAATTGATATGTTACCTATTAAGAACTCTAGCAATTCCAAAATCTCCAAGCTGTACTGTTCCATCTTTGGTTAAAAATAT